ATCACATTTCTAGTTTTGTACAAGTACAACGCTCCAAATTAAAAATAAGGCTATGTCATTTTACCCAAGTATGTAATTTTAGGCAGAACTCCCCTATGTCAAAATGGGAGACACATTGGAACATCTGACACATTCTAATATTCGTTTTCAAATGACAATAGGACATTTGTCTCTAAATCTATTATATCGCAGACTGGAACTTTTGGCACGATAATACACTCCACTGTTTTACCACCAACCAAACCGATTTTTTAGTTTCAGTTTTTAATCTTCTCCTGAAGATGTTAACATAGTTTGCGAAACACGTGTCGAGAGGCGTTTAAAAAATCGGTTTGGTTAGTGGTAAAACAGTGTAGGCCAAATCTATTGTTCACATTGAGAACAATAAAAAATCATTACGATTAGAACAGACGTAGGTACCTACGTTCCAAATCACCTACATATTATATATCTTCATGAGATCAGAAAATTAAATATGTTAGCCTCGAGGTTAGCCTCGATGTTAGCTATAGATTTATGCAAATTTATGGCCAATTATTATGATAATAATTATATATTTCACTGTTTTCCTATAGGATTTAACTCCTGAAATTTCATTTTTGATTTTTTTCCCGGATGGTGGGTCTATATAAGGAAGTTTTGGTTTCCTCACATTATTACTTTCTGCACAATGGAATCGCAAGTTTATTTTATTTCTGATGGTTTCCAAGAAAATTCAGAACCCTTTTATTGACATTTTTTGGATTCTCTATCTATTCCCTCTACTATATGAGAGAAATATAGCTTGTATATAAGGAATATAGAGTCACCCTATACTAATTTCGAGTCTTTGTTCGAAGAAGAAAAATATCGCCCCCGTATTTTTCAGCTAACCTAAAAATTACTGGCAGATAGTTCAACAATAAGCAAGGGTGGTAACAATTGGATTGACTGGTGGTCTCAACTCACTCAATGCAAGTCAAAGCTGTGTTATAGGTACACTTTTGAAATTGGCATTTTATTCTGAATTCAAGAACTTTTGATTCTGGCTCTCTTATTATACCATGAGCCCGATATGAAGATAATCTGAACTAAATTGAATCGGAAGCTTATAATGCTCATAGCAAGATTCCAGCAATAATGGTACGCAAATCGTTAATGCTATCATATTATACAATTATACAATAGCTCTTACAGTATAACCCTTTGTAATCCCATACAGCCGCATCGTTTAACCCTTATACACCAAACTAATTTAAACGCGACTCTACTGTTCTGTTTCTGTTCGAATGACTTCATATTACCTTGCTGTGATTAAAACTGAATTATCTAACACTGATACTCATCATAAATGTATTATGTTTCTGTATTATCGATAGTCCTCCGTGGATAGTACCTGTCCTGTATCCTTGTACCTATATTTCTCTGAAATTACTAAATGAAAATTACTAAATGGAGCCGATAAATAACACCGAAAAGATTCAAGAGGTGTTTCCTTGTGATATTCTAGCAAATAAAGTTCATAGAAACATGTGTCCTAACTTGCTTCGTTTTTGTGATACAGGATGTTGAAGTTGGAAGTATTAATTGTTTTCATTTATATAAGCCCCCTGTATAAGCTTCCGCATGGTGCCGAAAATCAGTGTGGTTGGAGACTGAGAAAGCCTATACATTGAATTTTGGAGTCTAATCGAATTTTTATTGTTTTCTCAAAAATTAAGCTAGATACAAAAATTACACAGAGGATAAAAAATTTGTTATTTCAATAGTACAATGTAATTCACCATAAATATCGATGAGTTTACTCACTGTGACGCCACTGGAAATATTATTTCGAATATAATTGCACTAGGAGAAGCTTCATATTACTATTAACAAAACCACAACGTTTTATTGAAATTGATGAGAAGACAACTGAGTAATGAATAAAAAACCGATTTTTCATGGAAATATTAATACCCTGTATCTCGAAAACGAAGCAAATTAGAACACATGTTCATATGAACTTTATTTCCTAAAATATCACAATGAATCACCCCTTCATTTTTTTCGGTGTCATTGAGATACATATAATATACAGTGACTGGTTGATCCCTCCCAAATTCTACGCCGCTGACGAAATTGTAATTATATCACAATTTTTCGATTCTCCAACAATTTTCACGTAGATATTGCACCTTTTCTTCATAGCCATAAAGTCATCATTTTTTGAGATATTTCAAGTTATATACATGAAGCTGCACAATCATTTTGATTTCAAAGTGCATTAATTATGTCGATATTTTGGATCAATGGATGGCATTTATCAATCCATATTAACAAAACAACATAACAGACACGAGCTGTTACAGGGTGTTCTAAATTTTAATTGATACACATCAAAATCAAAATGATTTGTGCAGCTTCATGTTTAACCTTTGAGTGTTTATTAACTTGAAATATCTCAAAATATATTGGCTTTATCTCTACGAAGAAAGAGTACAATATCTACGTGAAAATTGTTGGAGAATCGGAAAATTGTGATAGAATTGCAATTCCGCCAGTGGCGTAGAAATGGGGAGGGATCAACCATTCACTTGCCCCTATCGTACGCCTCTGTAATTTAGTAGGGTGTATTCCTAGTACTTTTAATTCCACTCCCCATCAAATACTCTGGGCGCAAATGAATTTATAAATTCTCAAATAAAACACCCTGTAACTCAGATAGGAGACACATTTTATCTAGGTGATTTGAATCATCATATTTTGAGTTTAGGATTTTTTAGTTGAAGTATTTCTAATTATTAATTGATCACCTTGTATATACCTACTACTTTGTACCTATACAGACAGACACAGCGACTTTTACAGCATATTTGCAAATAGTTGAACTCGGAGCACTTTTCAAAGTAATTTGTGGATTTATTGTTGCTTCTTGTCAAACATTCTAGTTTATGACTTTCATTGCTGCAGACTGGTGGTTAACATAAATATTGTAATAAAATGACTTCTACAGTTCAGAAACCAACCATTTGCCAGCTATAAATTTTTAATCCGTCTGCCTTGTAATAAAATAATACTGAAAAACTCTAGGAGTTTCTGATAGTTTTTTACTTGCGACATCTAACGTCGAAGGAGCAAAGTAATACCAAAACGATATATTCGAGCTACGAGTAGAAACTGGTTTGCCTTGTATGTGCTTCATCTTCATATTGAAGCGTTCTAGAACATCTGGAAGCTAACCAACCAACTCATTGGGATAATGTACTCACTACTCAAATGGTTTAATGGAAATACTAAACCAAGGAAATTGAACCAGTTGAAACTTTTACCCGCCCAATTGGATTAATTGGTTGGTGGTCAACATTTTCTCCATTAATTCAGTTCATAAGCACAATTCGTGATAGAAAATAAGCGCACGCCACCTATCAAAATTTTTAAAAGCTTCCAAAGATGGTAATGTTCCAAAGCGGTCTGTTTTCTTCGTTTTCGTTGTTGGTTCACTTTTTTTTGTTTGCTGTTTGCCGGTATCATACTGCTCAGAAGTGTTCAAAAATGTTTCCGTCAAGTGGGGGACGTGTTATTTTCTATCGCGAATATTCTCCTGTATCCTGCATTTTCTACCACTCTATTATGACTCTACAACCGTGACTTCCTAATGTTATGATTTTCTTTCAGCTTCGGCATGTTGCGCCATCTATAAAAAAAACTAAGAATCGGAACTGAAAGTTCTCTTCCATCAATAATTGACCGGTTCTAGATATATGAAGATTTCTATTTTCTTGTGTGCTCCGGTTAATGAAGTAGGTTTCTGTAGATCCTATCCTACAGGAAACTGTATTGATCTCTTTTCTCTGGTATTGATGAGAAGTAGGTTTCTGTAGATCTTCGTGTACAGGAAACTGTATTTTTTCTTTTTATTTGCTAGTGCGCGATAACGCTAGTAGATGGCAAACCAATGTTTTATAGGGGTATATACAGGGTCTGTACATACCATCTACCATATATAACGACTTCCCTAATCATTACCATTTATTGCCATTATTATATATTGCATGTGATTTATCTTTTCCGGTTTCGATAATGGGCCTGTTTCAGTGAAAAATGTCATTATTTTGAGGTAATCCAATTTAGTTACTGTGGCAAACCGTTTTCAAAATAATTATTGAATTTAGTATATTTAGATATTTCATAACATGAAAAAGCGCGGGACGTGTGACGAGATACCTATACCACCATCAGAGATTCATGAATCCAATGCCACTTACACATATACGAAATTGTGTATCTCAATAACCACTCTTTTTGTGTAAGTGAATTCTTATTTCTATCATAGATGAAGGGTTTGGTTCATCTATGTTTCTATACGTGGAATGCGTATGTTTTGCAATTTGTTGTTGAGAAATATCACACGTGATACTTATCGGTTAATCACGTCATGGAGAGCTAGCGTTATTGAGAGGTGATTATTTATAATATAGAAACAAAAATTTCATTTTAAATCACTGTATAATGACTATTTCGAATACTTTTATTAATACATGGCACGATCAATATAAAATAGATATGTAGCGTAAATTCGACACAACCCCATTATCGAGAATAGATTCCAGGCTTTTTCGTGAATCATTGAAATATTTTTGATTTTTTATTTCTAAAAATCTTGATAGATTTACCCGAGCTATCTATCCAAGAATATTAATAAGTTTGTGATATCAACGATCCCATATTGTTTGATGTGAATTGTTTTCATTCAGTCTGTTTTTATGATGACGGGATTATTTTTGAATTATGATACGAAGTAGCCAAGTTCAAAACAAAAATCATTTTACACTTATGAAACAATATTATACTTATTTATGTTATGTATTTCAGAGTTTGATACTATGCTGAATGAATAATTGTACTCTGTCGACACATTTGAGGATTTCTTGGAATCTGTGAAGTGTAATATTAGTTAACAGCACTTAGCATTTTGCATTATCTAATACCTCATCAAGTCAATGAACTATTGTGTGAAATAATTGTGAAGGAAACATCGATTAATGAAACGATTTTTTTTATTCATACACAAATAGGGTGATATGAACATACATATAAAATATTTTATAAATTAAGTATCGAAAGGTAGATTACATCTAATGATTTTTTTTATTAAAAATATCGTCAATTTTTTTCGTATATTAGTGCAACTAAAAGAATTGTACTTTTGTGATTACACCGCTGTAATTACATGTTTCTGATGTTTCCCAGGGAAAAAATATTTTCTGAACAAAAAATCGAAAAACAAAACAGTTCGGTCTATCATTTTTCAGAATACACGAAATATCACAGCCAATATCTAATGAGATTTTACGTTTACTGAATTTCCATATCAAATAAATCAATATAATGAAATTCTGTTGAAAGAATCTGGACCTGTGGAAACATCAAATTCAAATCTATCAACACAAATAGAACACATTGAAATCTATACGGTTTTGAAACTATCACTTTTTTAACATTTTTCCTGATCAAACGATAAGCTTAGTAATACATCTTTGGCTGTGTTGATTTGGCTTTGTAACTGATTCTTCGGAGAAAGTGGGGGAACTGAAGACAAACTCGTCTGCAAGATATTCTTGAAGCTCTTGTCTTGTTGATGTTGATGATCGACAATCGCTGAAGCTACCGAGCTTCTTGTATCACTCTCAATACTGGAATTCGAACTTTGGCTATGGTTGTTGGAGTTTTTCGTCCTTGTGCGACCATCATCAGACGACTTAGAGTTGGTAGTTTTGTGCTCGGCCGCTTCTGTATTCGACACGTTGTCAATTTTCTTCCATTTCGTTCGTCGGTTTTGAAACCATATTTTCACCTGGGAACAAAACAAATTATATAGTTGACATTGACTCGTTCTCGGATGAAGCAATGAAGGTATACGACTGTAAAGGCCAATCGCTGATATAAAATTTACCCTCATCCCTTTCGCTTTTTCTTCAAATTTGACCATCTCGATTTCATCTAAATAAAGATAATTCTGGATTGCCATTTTCTCTAGAAAATGTATTGAAATATCAGGAAGCGAATGAGAAAATACGTTTTTCTACTCCCTTATTTTACCAGTACGTTTAGTATGCTTAAGCTTGGGGCCCCGACACTTGCAGGGGCCCTGCGGGGGCCCTTTCATTGTGTCCTTATTTCAATGATGATAAAAAAAAATCATAATTTATTAGCCGCAGTTATGTTTAGAATCCATTTTAGGTTGTCGTGTACAAAAAAATATGAAACGATCACATTTTAAAATAAGATACATATATGAGATACATAATTATATAGAACGTTTTTAAAAAAAGTACAATATAAGACTTGACATTAAAAAAAAGGCACAGTGGTGTCTCGTCAAAGGAGAAGTCAAGAAATTCATCATGTGAATAGAAGGCATTGTTCAGTGAAATTTTCACAATTGCTGCTTTGAATTTCCTGATCGGTGCATTCTTTTGAGGCATTTTTACTGAAGTTAGTTAGAGTCAAAATTAGGTGAATTATCGATAGATTTGTTCAGTTGCCAGAATAACTTGTCATTGATTTCAGAAATTGTGCAAAAAAATTCTGATATTCTGACACTTCATAATCGAACTAGTGTGATATTATTGGTAGTGTTCATAAAAATGCCTCAACACAATAACCTTAACGTTAACAATATGAATATTAGATTGTTGAGCCCTCGAAAATCTTTAAAGTCTTAGACAAGTTATTCTGTCAAACGAACAGATCTATCGATAGTTCACGTAAGGAATTTTTTTAATTAAAATTGGATTTTGAATTACGAGTTCAATAAAAATGACTCAAAATGGAGCTTAATATTTCAAAAAATACCAATAAAACATCTGTCAAATTGGATGCGTGCTCGTGAAAAGTGGTCACTTTATTCGTTTTTTCCGCTCTTTTTAAATATCGAAAAAGATCCACAAAATTTTGCCATGCAGAGCGTTTTTTTTAATAAAAGAAGTTTTTTGTGTTTCCTCAACACGGACCTGGATTCTGATCCCGATTTGTATTAAGTTTTGATGGGTGATATAAGTGGATTATTTCTACCAAGAATGGATAGATTGTACGAAGTAGTTCAAAAGTTATGACAAGATGAAGATTTTGCCAAAATCGAGATAACGTCCTGTATCTCAGTTATAGAAGACGGTAGATATATCAATGGGGGATGATTTAGAACCTTTATCTACAGGTATCGTATGTTCATTTAAATCTGAAACACCCTGTATACAGGTACTGCAATTCTTTTAGTTTGAACTTTCATGTGTCATTTTTCTCATCTATCGGGGTGTTTCCGAAGTTGGGGCAATGAATGAAATGGATGATAGAGGACGAATTGAATTTCAAATGTTGCCTGAAACTTTTGTCAACCATTGAACAGAGGTTCATAGCCCAACCCAAGCGTTTGCTTTCGGCGAGATCATAAGCTCCGGAAGTATCAATAACTTTTGCAATTTTGCCAGACGTTCAATAATAGTTGAAATATGTAGTTTGGTGGAAGCGCACATTTTTTGTATAATTTTCGAAACATTTTTTGTGATTTATCGTGTCATATTATGTCCCATAGAACACCTTATTCTATTCATTGCCCCAATTTCGAAAACAGATAATTTTTAGTAGAATAATTCAGAAACTGGAAAAATATGTACTCATTTTTGGTTACTTCTGATTTTTGATTCTCTCAAAAAATTAACGTGACAATTTCAAATTTCCAACTTCTTATTATATCGCCATAATAATATCATTGTCGAGTAATAGTAAGTAGTGTAGTAGTAATAGTAAATAGTTTATTAAATTGGAGAGAGGCTATGTTTGTCAAAGCAACATTTTCCATCGGGAGGAAATTAGTAATGTCATTTGGTTCAATATGCGAAATAGAACACAATAATGTGAGGAATTTCATGCAAATGAATAACGGAAAATGGTAGAATGAAAACGGTAATGGATGTAATCGTTGTGAAAGAGTCTTGTTGAGTGTTTTTAGATGTTCGAAATGATAATAAAACGCCTAGCGAGATACTCGGTAGACTATTTTAATCCAGGTAATTATTGCAGTTTATGAACGAACGAACGAAAATACATCTGATGAACTTATGAAGCGATACAGAATAGCACTTTCCGTAATTAGAATCCATCAGTTGGAATTGAAAACAAATGTTGTTTCGTAAATCGGAAATGTAAAATGTGACATGAAAGTAAATATTAACTGGGTATACCGGCTAATTTGAATGTTTCGATGCTTTTAATTACTTCTGTTCTTGTCAAGTGCGACGACAGGTGCGTTCAACATCTTCCTACATAAATACATCATTATTAATGATACCATTCGCCATAATCATCCTAATTTGTTGAACAAATGATAAAATAGTTGTTTAGGTATGAAGGGTGTAAATTAGGCTTTTATGAACCGCAGCGTGTGAGTAATAGCCCGAGCGACAGCGACAACTAACAATAACACGCCTAGGTATATGGAAGCAAGTTAAGCCCGAAATACATACATTTCATGCAGAATCGTTTTAGACATTTGTTTATTGTCAATATGGATTTGTTTTATGATTTTGGATTCATTTAACCGAATTACGGATTCCACTGGCGAAAAAAGATCGAATGGTAGTCCAATTACTGAAAAAACAGTGAAATTACTCCACCGCCCGTTCACCTACTTTAACCCCCGTTGTACCCCTTTGATAGAGCGTCAAAGTGTTATTTCACGCCCGCAAATTCAGACGATAAAGAGCTACATTTCGCCTGGTCGTGCATTCTCGAAAAGTGTGCACCAGAATTGACACCGATTCTCTGCAAACTAATTACCATCTCCTACAGGGTATTTTTCCATCTTGCTGGAGGGTGTTTCATAGGTAAAGGGAAATATTTCAATGGTAGAAAGGGGTCACCAAGGTGGTTCTGGAAATATCATATTTGATAGGTCTTAGAGTCTTCATAACGGAGATACAGGGCGATTTATCGATTTCGAATAAATATTCATTCGTCTATAAGTATTGAACTACCCAGTATATTTTTCTAAAATTTGGTATGGAGCTTATACTTGGGACGTTAAATTTATTCACCTATCGGGTGAAGTGGAAATCCAGGTTCGGCTTCAGGAAAATTCACATTTATTCGAAATATTAAAATAACACATTGTATGTAATAATTGATAGAGTTCATCAAAGGAATCGTGAAGAGGAGGAAAAACTGAAATGGATTTGATGCTTTTTGTTTTCCCGCCACCAATTCTCATCGTAACAATCATAAAAAGAGAGCTAAAAGTATGACAATTTGAAGAGTATTGAAATTATGAAACCACTTTCAATTATGATTATTTGATATATTCTTGTTGAATGATCGTTCGAAAGAACTTACTCAGTCTCACCGTCTTTATAACAGAGATACAGGGTGGATTATCGATTTCTAATAATTATTCACTCGTCCATATAAGTATTAGACTACCCATCGCAGTAATATTTTCTCAAATTTGGTATTGAGCTTACTTGGGACGATGGATTCATCGACCTATCAGGCAGAATGGAAATACAGGTTCAGCTTCAGGAAAAGTCTCATAGTCTTTATAACAGAGATACAGGGTGAATTATCGAATTATAATTATTTGGTATTATTTCCATTCCGCCTGATAGGTTAATGAATCCATCGTCCCAAGTAAGCTACATACCTACCAAATTTGAGAAAATGATACTGGGTAGTTTAAGACTGATGGAGACTGTGGGACTTAGTGAGTTCTTTCGAGCGATTTTTTGATTGAAATATCAAATAATCATAATTGACACTGGTTTCATAATTCCAATACTCTTCAAATTGAAATACTTTCAACTTCCTGTTTATGATTGTTACGATGAGAATTGGTGGCGGGAAAACGAGAAGCATCATACAAAATTAAGCTTTTCCTCCTCTTCACAATTCTTCTGATGTACTGTGTTAATTATTGAATACAGTGTGTTATTTTAATATTTCGAATAAATGTCAATTTTTTCTGAAGCCGAACCTGGATTTCCACTCCGCCCGATAGGTGAATAAATTTAACGTCCCAAGTATAAGCTCCTCACCAAATTTGAGAAAAATATACTGGGTAGGTCAATACATATAGACGAATGAATATTTATTCGAAATCGATAAATCGCCCTGTATCTCCGTTATGAAGACTCTAAGACCTATCAAATATGGTATTTTCAGAACCACCTTGGTGACCCCTATGTACCATTGAAATATTTTCCTTTACCTATGAAACACCCTGTATAGTCCAACCAATACCCAAAAAAGAAAACAGAAGCCTGCCCAACAACTGTAGACCAATTGCCCTACTATCACTCATGTCCAAAGTGGTGTAGAAAACCATCAACATTGAGCTCATCAAATATCTGGAAAGCTCAGAAATCATTAATGATAGACAATATGGCTTTTGCCACCGAAGATCAATTGGAGATTTTGCTCCATATATGGCAAGCTTCATTAGAAAAACATGGGGAATCTCTAGCTGTGGCGTTATATATATATATCGAAGGCAGTTCGACCGTGTTTGGCACCAAGGACTGCTCCACATACTACCTATCTATCATACGGCTTACCACCTCAGCTATGCCATCTTTCATCGAGTTTTTGTTTTCATGCAGATCTCTCCATGTGGTGGTGGACAAAGTATCTTCTGATACCATTGCTATCAATTCCGGCATTCCGCAAGGACCAATTTTGGCACCGACATTGTGGTTACTTTATATCAACGATGTATTTGGAGCAACCACTTGCCCTATGCACAGCATTACATGTCCGACCCATCGCACAAGCTGCTTCACAAAAACTCGGTTCCTTGTTCCGTGC